ACACTCACACACACACTCACACACGGACACACACACACACACACACACACACACACACACACACACACACACACACACACACACACACACACACACACACACACACACACACAAACACACACACACACACAAACAGATGCACAAACACAGAACAATTCCTCCTTACACGAGGAAACAAGGCGTTCATCATGTTGAGGAATCTGACGACTTGTCTCCTCTCGTTTTTCTTTCTTTCTTAGAATCCTCTGACCATAAAGGATGTGCTGAAGAGCCTTCCCACAAAGGAGAAGACCTTACGGGTGATGTCTATGACGAGGTTTCTGAGTTCTAAGGACAGCCAGAAGAATACTCTGGGTGATTTCCACAACCCTTTCCTGTTCACAAAGGTGGGGAATGCGGCAGTCAAAAGGCAAGTCCCCCATTCGTTTATTCACGTTTCTTAACCCTTGTTGTATTCTCATGGAGTCGTTGAGACAATGTTGGAATAGAATAGTTTTGTCAATGAGAGGTAGATGGAAGTATACTAGAATTGATTTTTTTCATGATATCATAAGGTAAATATGTACAAGTTTTCAACAAGTAACATTTGTTTGTAATGGGAATTCTTCTAAATTATTTATTTTATAACGTCCCTTTTCCGTTACAGTTTTCGGGAAGACTTAGCCAAGATTTCAGCGAGCAACAAGAAGAATGATCGGTCCCCGCCCTACCCATACCTGGATCCCGCTGTCATCCCGACGTCCTGCTGTTTCTAGTGAATCACTGAACTTTATTCCTCAAGAACTTGTGAACGACACAATGTATGGCAACAATGACAAAGCAATCAATACAACAAAACTAGTCTATTCTTTAAAAAATCTATAAACAGACCTGAGTGAGTTCACAAATGTGCCCTATGGGACAGACTGCCATTCTCACATATGACTGTTTAGGCATAGCCAATTAGGATTTTGATGGCTAATACTGGTACCAAGGACATTATACAGATATACAGATATAATGTCCATGTTAATACTAACTGAAGGGGGTCATATATATTCTAAAAACTGTGACTATAGAAATATTTAGTCGTCAATACAAATAGTTGTATGAGTAGTATAAAAGAGATGGGGCGAGTAATTATAAAGGTTTTGATGAGGGTCTGAGGAAAGAGCGTGGGGACTGGGGAAGGGTACATCATGGGAATTGGGGAGGGGCAAAGCGTAGTAAAAAGTAATAGTAGAGCCCAGTAGGAGCGTGGGCTTTTAGGAGTGGAAGAATTTGGAACTTCAGTCACAAGGTGCTGTATACTATACAAGTGCGTAATGGTGTGCTTTTATGAAGGTAATCAGGAGACAATATTAACACATGTTTTAGATTGCATCTAGAATTGTGAATTGTCCCTTTTCAATTTTTTCTGGTGGTGTTCAGATAAAAAGGGCTTATAGCAATATGCTACCACTGTGAATCTCTCTCGTATATATGATGTGATTAAATGTATCGTTTAAAAACGTAAGTGTATTTCTCAGTATCTGGGTGGCTGACACCTGCGTTACAGGGAAAAAACGTTACACCGTACTGGGTGTATTTCTGAGTATTTTGTTTGCTCATCCCTGCGTTACTGAGAAAAAAAAACGTTACTGCGTACTGGGTGTATTTCTGAGTATCCGGGTGGCTCACCCCTGCGTTACCGAGAAAAAAATTACTGCGTACTGGGTGTATTTCTGAGTACTAGTATCCGATTGGCTCACCCCTGTGTTACCGGGAAAAACAGATGACCAACCCAAATCAACAGGCGACCTTTGCCATCGGCATAAATTAATATTCATATCTGAAATTCCTCCGTGAGCTTGTCCTTTATTGTGGCGCTGGGCGTGAAAACATGTTCGTGACAAAGTTGCAGATTCACAAAGAGACACGCAGTGAAGACACTTGGTCTTTGTTTTCTGGGGTTTCTCTAGAACAAGCCCTGGGGTGGGTTGGTTCAGGTCATCTGGCGTATTGAACACCTGCAGCAGAACGTAATTGTCATGGCAGGGCTGGGTAGGATTTGGCTGTCATCCATATAACTTGCTTTGTCACTTCTTACGTCGCTCACAGAATGTTTTCAGCTCCGTTGGTTAGTGATAATTGCCGATGACATGTTACAAACGGCTGAACTTCAATAGGATAGAAAGTCAAGGATGAAAAGCACATTTAAACATATCCAAGATACTTAACGCGTTTAGTGACGGTCATTTTGTGAACACGCCAAAAGAAACTTGAATTTATTGTAATATCGCACCGGTCAACCGGGTTAAAAAGTGACATGAATCCAGGCGGTTTCAACAACAAGTCTAAAACAGCTACAATTCTGGTCACACCTACAAATATCTACCACACCTTAAACGTCATTGTATAGATCTATAATGACGCTACGAGCAACGCTTGGTCACGTACACCTACAAACTTTAACCACACCTTAAATCTCGTCGCATAGATAATGAGTTGCCTACAGGCTACAAGTGGTTATATCCCCTGACGACTGGCGCACTTGAGAGCGAGACACGGGGGTGAACTGGTCCCATTTCTTTGCTTTCTCGGCAGCGAATTTGTTGAGTCTCATTTTTATCGTCGGTGAATTTTCCCAGTAGCTGCCTCTTAAGGCCTGTCAGTGCGCTCTACATACAGCTAGCTTCAACATCTTTCTCTTAGCTAGTGTTCAACCGTTAGTACTTTATATCGGGGTAAGGGCCGATAGTTAGACTGGGAAAATTATGATTTGTTAACTTTACAAAACAGTTACACATGTAACGTTACATGTAAAGCCACGTTACCATTGAATCTATCGTTTACATGCTTCCTTCAAACATTTCCAAGATACGTAACGCATTTGGTGACGATCCTTTTGTGAAGACGTGATTTTTTTTGCAATATTGTAAAATATAGTTCCAAGTTCAATGCCAAGGAGACATCTCTCTCTCAAGCTGAATCACGCACACGTACGTGTATTTCTGGGTATCCGATTGGCTCTATCCCTTCTACCACGTGCATTTCCGAGGCTCTGATTGGCTCGCCCCTGGGTATTTCTGGGTACCTGATTGGCTCGCCCCTGAGTATTTCTGGGTATCTGATTGGCTCGCCCCTGCGTTACCGGGAAAAGCTCTATCCCTTCTACCACGTGTATTTCCGAGGCTCTGATTGGCTCGCCCCTGTGTTTTTGGGAAGCAACCCAGTAGGAGTTCCAGTCCAGATGACCAACCCAAAATCTATAGGCGACCTTTGCCACCAGCCTAAATTGATATTCATATCTGAAATTCCTCAGTGGGCTTGTCCTTTGTTTTGGCACCGGGTGTGTGTTCAAGTTGATAACCACAGTCAAGTCGCTTCTTTGTGTGATTCTGTATAGCCAAGCCGGTATAGCCTGGTCACACCTACAAATATCTACCACACCTTGAACGCCATTGTATAGATCTATAATGAGTTGCCTACAGGCTACAAGGGCGCTATCTTAACAGACAGTGGCGCACTTGAGAGCGAGACGTGGACGTGAACTTGACACAGTTCTTTGATTTCTCGGCCAATTTGGTGAGTCTCATTTTTTATGACCGTCGGTTGAACAGGGTTCCTGATAGGTCCCTTTCAAAGCATGGCCTCTATAGCTAGCTTCAACAGCATTCTCTCATTTAGCGTTGTTAAATGTTGTACGATATTTATCGGTGTGAGGGCCAGTCGTTAGACGGGTGGGTAAAATTTTCTGTGGCCCTCCGCCAAGTTAAAATCTCGTCCCGTAGTCCACCCCAATAGTGATCTTAAACGATTTCCCCTTCTTCCAGTACCCTTCCTATTAACTCTTGAAACATTTTCTGTATGGCATGCTCTGTCTAAATATGCTTGTAGACCAGTCACAAATTTGTCACAAAAGTCTATAGCCTTGGTCACAACCCACTGTGCTTCTGCGTGCTGTCTACGTGCAAAAACGTGGGAAAACGTAGGGCATCCGTGCGTGGTGAGTACCGCCTCCGTACGGAATCCTACGGATTCGGGAGCACGCGGACACGCCGTAGAACTTGAAGGGCATGTAAAACTTTTCATGCGTGCGGTCTGCAGATTCACCACCCGTACGTGCGACGTGCGTCCCCTGTACATCCTATGAGCGTACAACGTACGTTTTCGGAAAAACGTAGCAGACGTGGCCATGGCCTCCCCAAAAAACGTACGGACAAAAAGCACGTACGGCGGGTTGTGACCGCGGCTTATGGCAAACTCATGGACTTGAGTGGTCAAACCCATTGCAAACTCATTGGTCCCGATTGGCTCAATCAGAGACTATTTGCCTGTATTTCAGTGATGCACTTTTGAATTTACAGAGGCTTTCCATACTATCTATTGTCCTAGCTTCGGGAGGTTTTCATGGTCAGAACTTTTTTGTCTGCCAAGTTGGTTGTAAGAGAGGTCAATTAGTATTTCCGTCTAGATGCTAGTTAATGGTGTACTTATGTGGTGTACTTGTCATAACGTTTGGTGTGCAGTATTATTGTAGCAGTTGGTTAGAGTGGCATGGAGCCAGGCGGTTGCCTCAACTATATATTAAAAAACAGCTGACGAAGCCTGGTCACGCATACAAATATTTACCGCACCTTAAAAGCCACTGCATAGATAATGAGTTCCTAGAACTAGAACTCGTTGTCTCACCTGGCGGCTTGTCTCACCTGAGAGCGAGACACGGAGGTGAACCTGTCACAGTTCTTTGAGTTCTCGGCGAACTTTGGTGAGTCTCACGTTTTACCGTCGGTTGAATTTTCTTTGTAGTGCCTTCTCAAGGCATTGGGCTCGACGACTAGTTTCAAAGTCATTCTCTAAGTTAGTGTTGTTAAAGGTTGTACCATATATTTCGCGGGGACAGACGTTAGACGGTTGTGTAAAATGTTCCGTGTCCGAATCTCCCAAGTCAAATTATCGTCCCATGCCGCGGTCCTCTCTCTAGACTGACCTAAGGTGACTTCCCCTTCCCCCATCTCCTAAGAATCCTCTTTTTAAAAAAAAGGCCCAAAGGGAGAAACGCCGTGTATTTAAAACACCTACTTTATTTTGGGGCGCCTTGTCATTTGGCCGCCCGTGTCTGGCCGTGAATTAAGACTAAGAACGCCTAACATTCGGCTAAAACGGCCTGTGATGCATGGGACTCCGTCAGAAATATCCGTCTCAACGGCCTCTGGTCCTATGACGGCGTTCCTGTCGGTTTTCTGGCGGCGTTTTTGGCGGGTTCCCGCACGCGTTCCCAGACGGGCTCCCGGCCCAGACGCGCTGCCGGGCGGGCTTTGGGGTGGGTCCGGGCGGCTTGGGGCGGTTCAGGGAAACGGCGTTTCTGACGGCCCAAACGGACTCTGGAGGGTGGTGTGATATGGCCCGCATGGGTCGGGTATTCATGGGACTGCATAGAGAAGTTTATATTTCTATTCTCTGGCCATCAATTTCGCAAGTTTTTAGAAGAACATATACTGACGTTAACAGTCACAACTATTTCAACTGCTGTAAGTTAACACCATGTGTCTCGTGTTATTTTCAACGAGGAATTGCTGGAGTCCGTTCGAATTTTCCAACAGGTGGTTGGAGTAGATCTGGTTAGCACGGAGGGCTTACTGTATGTTTTCTATTCATGACTGATAGAAAATGTATTCTGGGCGTTACAAAAGGTCCTTGTCTCACGTACACTGTACATCATACCCGTTTGTTGCGGGTTTTAGTGGATTGTGGCCGGTTGTGGTGTTTAGACATACCGGCAGGCCTGGGCCTATAACTTGTTGCTGTAACATCGTATCCGCTAATAAGAGTAACATGGAACAACAATTCTAAAGAAGCTAACAACGCTTGGTCACGTACACCTACAAACGTTAACCACACCTAAAACTCGTCGCATAGATAATGACTTGCCTGCAGGCTACAAGCCTTTGTCTCACCTGACGACTGGCGCACTTGAGAGCGAGACACGGGGGTGAACCTATCTCATTTCTTTGATTACTCCGTGAATTTGAAGAGTTTCACTTTTAAACGTCGGTTAAACATTTCTTGTAGTTGTAGTTGGGATAAATGGCAGTACACATGTGATATACAGGACAAATATATCAGAATTAGCTACAAATTCAGCATCCAAAACATGCAAGGAATTGCACTAGATCGGTATCTTTTAGTTCTACAGAACACAGAGTCAACGGGTCGTCTTGTCGCTAATCGTGGCCCTCGAAGGTGACAGTAAGTGACGATGCATCTTTAATTGTTCCAGGGACATGGCAAACTTCATTGTCAGTTATTCACGATCACGGCGTGTCTTGAGTGATGGTAGGTCAAACTGTACGCAAGCTTTGGGATAGGAGATGAAATTGGTACCCAGTTTGATCCGCAGCGCGGTGTTGTTAAGGTTTTGACGACATTTAGCGGGGCGAGGGCCTGTCGGTAGACGGCTGGATATCTATGGCACTCCGCCAAGTCAAACTATCGTCCGATGCCGGCCCTCCCTATCAGTGTTAGCCGGGGTATAGTGGCCTAAGGGCGAAAACGTCATTTGAATTTGTTGTGTTTTAACCTTTTTACCTTTTTCCAAATGCATTGCTTTGTATAATATTATGCATCGTGCATATCTTCAAAATGTCTTGTTCTTATCTTGTTAAATATTTGCCTCTTTATTCCTTGTGAGACACCATTATTTTACACGAGTAATTTATTGTTGGTCGGAGAGTCCACTGCTGTAGTATTTCTTTCGTTTTGGTGGAGGGATCCAATTTAACTATAATTTCGTTCGAGGATTTTCTGTTATAGTTATTAGATGGCTTTTATGTTAGAATTATCTTTTAAATAGTTCTTTTGCCTATGTTAGACGCAGCAATGTTCAGACAACAAACCAGCCAAACCCAGTATGGGGGAAAGGGTCAGCAAGTGCAGCAATTCAAGGGCTCTGGGGGCTATGAGGTAAAAAACTTAAATAGTCATTTTATGCTCATATGTCTTGGTTTTCCTTTGCTCTGACATTTTTTTTTATTCTCATTTCCGCGTTCCAAATTTGTTGTAAATGTCAACATTAGACAAATTTCATCACCCATGATATTTTGCCGCCCTGAAAATGCAGCTACTTCTTACTAGCCCTAATGTTGTTTCATGTTTTTCGAATCCAGGTGCCCCCGACATCAAAGGAGATCGTGCCGGCCCAACCAGGTTTTTGTTTGAATTTTTAGCGAACTTTAGCCACTAACATTTAAATTCCGTTGTTATGCTAAAATACGATCATCGATGCTAGTGGGTGTAAAGGTTAACTCTCCGTACAAGACAATAATATAAAAATAATCCTAGAAGACAATAATTAAAACCCTACCTTGTACCTTCTTTCTTTTGATCTTGTTAGTTTCTAAATTCTTGTTAAGAAAATAGAAGTTGCCATATGTTTTATCTTTTGTCATGCTGTGCAATAAATTAATAACCTTTAGCACTGTCCAATATAGAGAAATATGTTCATAAATTATTATTTTTAATCAAAATTGCTAATATTTGGTATTTAGTGTTTGATTATGCCTCCCAAACAAGGCTTCCCCGGCGAAAGTGGATTCACAACTCACGAGATGAGAGCTGAGCTGAGAATCCTCAACAAAGCTCTGGAAGAGTTTTTCGAGAAATGCAGGGTAAGCTCACTCCAACAATCTTTGTATGTAATGTTATTTATAGTCATTTTTTCCAACTTAGGCCACGCCAATTTAATTTGTTGGTTCTCGGATGTGCCTCTTCATTTTTTTCTGATTTGCAAAAAGTCGTGCTCTTCCTAGTTAACAGTTTTCAATCTATCAATGCAATGGTTTGATTAAAAGTAAAAAAATTATTGTTAAAAAATTAACCCAGCCTGTTGTGTTGAGTCCATGGTTCCTATCGTTGCATATAATAGGATGCCTAACCCTGTTTTTATTTTTTTTCGCCCTGTCGCCCTTTCGCGCTTCATATTTTTTCTGGAAAAATCCGAGAACCAACAAATTAAGATGGTGTGGCCTTACCAAATATTGCTTATCCCTTCCTGTGGTCAGGCCCCTAGAAGACTTAGTTCCCAACACGGGTTGATCAGAATTTTGCCCCAGTCCTACACGACTATTGTCAGCTGTTGGTACGATATTAGCCAATGGTCGCTTCCCCCTCAGCCAACTAGATATGTCCATTCACTGTGGTTATATCAACATAGTGTCAGACTATTTGACTCCTGGCTCAAAGTTGAACAGCCATAAAAACTGTGAGGGAGGGGTCCGCAAAGCCTGGAGAATAGCCTGGGAGGTTGTGTAGTTGTGTTATCACTGTTTTTCTTTTGTTCTTTGAATCAGCAACTTTATCTTTTCAATAGTTGGTGTGCAAGGGCGGCTCGGGCGCTGGTGGGATTAAAATCGATGGCATAGGGAAAATCACCTTCAGGACGGAGGAATCAGGGGAGGCAATCAATGTCGAGGCAGACTTAACGACACTGGTGGAGAACTTTTCCAAACTACAAATCTCTGCTGCCGTAACAAGGTGAGGAGAAGTTAGTAATATAAACTAACCAAAGTTTGGCCACTTCAAATCTAGTTATTTCGATGTCTCATTAAGAACTACCTTCGTACCAAATATCAAGACAATCCAGTTAGGCCTTCTCGAGTTATCGTATTTACAGACACACATACACACACAGACACAGACACAGACACAGACACAGACAGACAGACAGACAGACAGACACACACACACACACACACACACAGACACACATACACAGACACACACATACACTCACACACACAGACTCTCTCTCACACACACACACATACATACACACACAGAGAGAGAGAGAGAGAGACATCACAACAGATCACCAACGAACAACGACCTAATATGAATATGGGTTCGCTGCTGAATTACGGAATACACTTTTCATTGAATGTTTCATGTTTTACAGTGTAGAGGCGATCCAGGACGATTTGGATAAGATAGTGGCAAAGCTGATTGCACTGAAAGCGGTAACATCATTTTCTTTTTAAATATCTGCATACCTAGTAACTTGTATTGTCTGTATTTAAGCAAAGCTAACACAGAATGATGTTCACGGCATTGAAGCCATCAATTGAATAACTTTGAATGTGTCCGATGGAGTTTTACTCATAATGATCCATGATGTTAGAAAATCTATCAAAGATATTTTTCCAGTCAATGTTGACAACGTTTGCAATTTCAAACGGTGGATGCCATATCACATAATAGGACATTTGAAGAGTATTAGCACGGCCCCTTTTCAGATTTTTATGTTTTTTTTATTGATGTCTTTACCATTTTCAGGATCCAGTCGTACATTTGTAGATGAATTGTTGTTATATTTCAGTCCATACCATGGTATGGATGAAATATATTGTGTTCCCTCATGTTTGTCCTTCTTCTTCTTCTTCTCCTCCTGCCACTCGCTCTGAGCGATTCAACTCAGCCATCATTCAGCCAAAAGACCTTCAAAATGTATCAAATCTCATCATTGTTAGTATTTGCATACCGTTACCTGTAATCCACTTTTGCGTGGGAGGGAGATGGACTGAAATATGCTGTATTTGCTCCCAAGCAAACGTCGGCCTTTCTAGTTTTTTATTTATTTCCTCTGATATGGCATCAACCGGTCACCAATAAGTCACCGACCGTTTACGAGACGGAAAACACAGCAGGTGAACCTGCAGTTAACTAAGTATGCTATCTATTACTTCACTAATATAAGCTGTTTTTTTTTCACAGTTACTTGAAGAAATCAAGGGTGGGAAGGACATGTTGATGCTAGCGCTGGAGGCCATAATCGAGAAGTACAAGAAAGTCACGATCATTGAGATTGATGTGAGAACCAACTCTCTGTCTATATATAAATCTCTCTCTCTGTCTCTTTCGCACTCTCTTACTCTCTCTCTCTCTCTGATAGATTTATTTATATATATATTTTTATATTTATTTATACTTTTTATTAGATAGATACTAGTAGATAGATAGACAGATAAATAGATAGATAGATAGATAGATAGATAGATAGATGGATGGATGGATGGATAGATAGATAGATAGATAGATAGATAGATAGATAGATAGATAGATAGATAGATAGATAGATAGATAGATAGATAGATAGATAGATAGATAGATAGATAGATAGACAGATAGATAATTTCTGCCAAAAATGGATACCTACCAAACGACCCAGGATACAATTCTAACACCAGGCCATGTGTACTAGAATAAGGCGTTTTAGAGCACAAATGCATGTTATGTACAAATTTTAGACCTGTAGATGTCATTACATGTGACAACCTAGATAGGTAGCAAAGTAGAATATACATCATGTACTTGTTCATATTGTCTGATCATATGATTATTCATTTTCCACAGATTAAAGGCTCAGGCGGAGGAGGCATCCCAAGCTTAGATCAGATCCTGGTGTTGGTTCGAAAGGAGAACGCCCACCTCGTAGCCCAGTTTGAGGCTGAATGGAAGGCAAAAGTAAAATTTCCATAGTGTTCCAATATTAAAGAAAAACTCACGATGATAATAGTATGTATTTTGCTACTGTCGCTCAGTCCATTTTGATTTGATTATATGGATGACATCCGCGCACTTTCATTCGTTTAAAAAAAACAACGTTTTGAACCAGACTGAAAATCTATAAAAAAAAAAGCGGCTGTAAAATGAGCAACTTATATATGCCGCAAATTGCAAAAACAAATATTTGAAAATGACATCAATGTCGTAGAATGCCAAAGTCAATTCTAAAGGAAAAGAAATGAGAAGAGATGAAGATGAAGTTGACTTTTCACTTTTGGTATCAAAAGAAACCTGACAAATCCAGCTTTGTAGTGGGAGTAAATACTTAACGTTTGAACTGAAAGTTAATGCGTTTTAAAGTGCTTGTTTTAGTGGATTCACCATGGACAAAATTCATGTACTGTATCTGTATCTGTATCTGTATAGCCGGTATAACCGCCTTTCGGCGTAACACACCAGCTTCGCAGGCACGCGGCGCGGCGGCAGCTGGCTATATTACACCGATCGACTTGTTACACCTAACCCTTGAACTTCTAGCTCTAGACATTGTTTAAAGCTATCTATTGACAATGCCCCTACTGTACTTGGTGACAGTGAGTTCCACTCTGCGATAGTTCTAGGAAAGAATGAATTCTTGAACACCTCAATCCTTGGTTGATAACTCTGGTACTTGAATGCGTGGCTATTTCTTGTTCTCTTCTGGGCTGATATTAGGTACTTAGTAGTTGGGACATCCACCAGTTTATTAGTCATTTTGTACATCATGCATAGTCTAGACATCTTTCTTCTGGTCCCTCCCCATTACAGATGGAGCTGATCTTTCAACAGATGCAGATGGAGATCATGGAAACAGCCCAGGCTTTCATCGGCGTGGACATCAAGACTTACAGCTCACTGATGACGGCGTATGCTGACTTTTGTCTTTCCTAATTTATTGGTTTATTTACTTCATTTTAAAACAGCTGGGTAGCCCAATTCAGCTATGAATTTTTAACATAGATGGGGCATACAATTTCACAGGACATTATAACATTTAGTCAGACAACAAAAGGTGGACAAACAGTCAAATAAAGTCCTATATGTTAAAATAATGATAATAATAATGTCTAATAATACTTTACCTCACGCAGGCAGGGTTTGATACCTTATGGATGAAGTTTAAGCTGTAATTTCCAACACGAGAAATTGGACTTTCCCGACCTTTCGACTGTACAACTCTTTTTCAAGGAATGAGCAATCCACCGCTTCTGTAACGTCACGTTATGTACATGACACATGTGACTCGGTGAGCAGAAAGGTTGCAGAAAGTCTGTGCAAGAAGTAGAGTTGTACAGTTGAAAACTTTCTCCATGATGGCTACCAACACAGACGAACTTTAACATAGGATTACAATTTAGTTTATATGTTAGTACTAGCCCAATGTTAGTGATTACCATAGACATTAGCTATGAGACACATGCTGACAAGAATTTCTTTCCAAACACAAGCGAAACGTCACTGCTGAACTACTAGCATTCGTGATTGCATGTAGATAAATTCACTTATATTTTACATTTTGCACGAACTTCTCAACACATCTGTCTTATGAATGCTAAGATAAAAGATAACATAGAGTGAAGATTTCCTATTCATTGTTATTCTAAATCAGATTTTTATTTTTTTTTAGATATGCGGCTTGCTGTCCTGAAGGCTCCATAACACCCCCATCAAAAGGAGGCCAAACTATAACCGGAGTTAAAGGTAGTAGATTTCCTACGGTTCCATTCTTTAGTAAGGACCAATAACCATACCAACGTTTGATTGCCCTGTTGAAACAAGTTGTGAAAGAAGAAATCCGCGTTTTGTGTGTATGTAGTTTTTCGTGCTATACCATAATCTTTGCAAGAATCAATTCCCACGCCAAACAGTGTGAAACTTACTATACTGATGTATTATGAACGTATTCTTCAGCATACGGTATGTCATTTCATCACCTTTGTTTTTTTTTACATTTCAACACTTTTTGCTTCTCTTCTATCTGTAAACCATATTTGTTGTTTTGCCTTTATTTATCAAATATTAGTGTCAAAGATATTACGTGTAGCTGCCTTAAATTCATGTTGCAAATTACCAATTATGTTTCTGACACGGTTCTATTTTCTCCGTAGGCTCAAGCGGCAGCAAGACTTCCCAGCAGACTTGTAAGGTTTCTTTTTATAAGATTGAGTGACGTCTATTGTCTTACACTGTCATTGCTAAAATTTCTTTTAACGGTGACACCACTTTCTTTTGAAAATGTAACTTACTGTAACCTAATCTGTATTTGCCTCCTAAGTGTAATTTGTGTTACATTTCGGGTACACTAGTAATCTTTTCTCTTTCCCCAACAGCCGTGGGGTACGGCAAGTACGGCAAGTACTGAAGTAGGAGGACGTGCACAGGTAGGCGAGATTGTTTTGTAAACCTATGTCGAATTGAGAGGAAATAATGATCATTATACATAATGCAAAATTTCAAATGCTATTAGATAAACCGGGTTGACCTATTCAACTTTGTGCCAAGAAGACTCCCTATACGATTGGGGCAAACGTTAATCAAAAACAAAAAACAGTAAGATGGATGTCATTTATATGTTTTATGCTAAGAGCTACGATAGAGTTGCTATTTGGGACATATTGAGAAGAGTATTCAAACGGATTTATTAATATCTTTGTCAAAACAAAGGGATATTTTGCATTGCAATGGCAACTTAGTCAAATAGATCTAGGTGGGAAAACCATTTCAATTTCGTATTGCCAATTATATTTCATTTCAAATCAAATCTTAACAGTGGCATCAGTGACTACAGTGACTTAGTGGTGCTGGATTCATGCTGGGGAGCGCATTCAAATAAGCCACTTTGAGGGGAACGTCGTGACGATGACAGTTTGATAACCTCTATGAAAAATGGAGGTATTGTTTTGGGTGTGTTTGTGGGTCTGTTTCTTTGTGCCTGTGTTTCAGGATATTTTAGTCAGCATGACTTTAGAAGGTCTGAAATTATTACCATAATGGTGATATATATATTAGGGGGTACATATAAGTCTTTGGAAGGCAAAGTGAAAGGTCAATGCGTCTTTTCTTGCTGTATATTTTTGGTAAGTCTTATTTTGTGTTAGTAAAGGAATTGATATTGGTAAGGCAGAAGTAAGGATCAGTGCCACGACTATGCGAGCCAGTTAGAAAATACTGCTTTATAGGGTAGTTTTCTATCTTTATTACCTCTATAAAATGGAGGCATTGTTGTGTGTGTGTTAGGGTTAGTGTGTGTGTGTGTGTGTGTGTGTATGTGTGTGTGTGTGTGTGTGTGTGTGTGTGTGTGTGTGTGTGTGTGTGTGTGTGTGTGTGTGTGTGTGTGTGACTGTCTAGATGGATTGTGGTGATTTTTGATTCGCGGGTAGGTCTCGGGAAGGCAAAGGTTAATAGTGAGCCTCCTGGTGGCAGCTGACGTTGAAATCAATTTTTATCTTTTGTGCTGGACATGTCTATGGTGTTGATTTTGGTGACAGGTGGAGGTGTTTTATGTCAAGAACAAGAACGATGTAAGAACCTCCCGACAGTTGTTTTGGAACCACAGATTTTTTGGGTGGGGGGAATATTTGAAAGAGGATAGGTCAATAAAGAAACAACGGATTTTCGTAATAAAATGCAATTTATGCAAATTTGAACAAAATTTGTTAATGAGAAATAGCAATCGATTTTTTTTTAATTTTCATGATGACTGAAAATAAGAAGTTTTTCCACCATTCGGATATACATGTAACTTAGACAAAGATGTAAACAAGCAAATGATGACTTTATTTGCATAATTGATGAGGGAATTATATAATGATTACTAGTAGCCCAGCCTCTTATCATGTACGTTGATTTGTGAAGAATCTATTTGCCATACCTACAGTCAAATCAGTATGTTTTGGAAATGATTCCGTTGGTTTGGTACCATCATGGGCATTGGAGGCATCTGTATATTCCAATGCGTCTAATATTAATGAACAATTAAGTTTAGTCCCTGACGATATGACTTGACTTCTGTAACATCTAGTTGTCACATCTGGCTTAAATTAATTGTTAACCAGTCTTAAAGTGAAGTGAATGTTTCCATCGCAGGAGCATTCGTATATTAAGCAGCTACGTATTAAAATACATGTACATGTCATGTTAGTCAATAATTAAGTTAGGTCCCTGATGATGTGATTTGACTTGTCTAACATCTATTTGTCATATCTGTCATATACTTCACTGTTAGGCAGGGGTAAAGAGAAGTGAATATTTCCACCAACAATATACCATCACAGGAGTATCTACTTGATTCTAATACATGTGCTTGGCGATATTAATCAATAGTTAAGTTAAATTCCTGATGATGATATTTGAAATGCTTAACATCTGTTTGTCACATCTGTACTTTCCTGTTAACCAGAGGAAAAGTCGATATGGTACCATCAAACGAACATTAAGTACAAAATTATGTATGTATTCTAATACATATACTTTTTAGATACATCAACATGAATTGACTTGTGTAACATCTACAATCTGTACTTAACTGTTCACCAAAGTCATACCATCACAGGAGCGTTAAGTGCGCTAAGTATCTAATACATGCACTTAGTAATATTAGTCAATAATTAAGTTTAGTCCCTGATGCCATGTGATTTGACTTGTGTAACATCTAGTTGTCATACCTGTACTTCACTGTTGAGCAGAGGTAAAATGAAGTAAATGTTTCCATTGATTTAGTACCGTCACAGGGGCATTAAGTATTAAGTATCTAGTGCATAATTCTGATACATTTGCTTGGTGAAATCAATCAATACTTGATACTGTGCCCGATGATGTGATTTGGTTTGTGTAACTAACATCTACATGTCATATGCACTTCAATCTGTCACCAGTGTTAGTAGTGTTAAATGTTTCCTCGTTCTGGTACCACCAAGGAAAATCAAGTTTGAAACACTGGGCAGAGGAGGACTCGTTGAAAACATCCCAAAATGTGCTTAATGTGCATTATCAGACACAGTATTTTTACTTTTTGGTGGAGGAATTATCACATTATAAGTCATTATTACCAGCCACAACACCACCATCATGATAGAAAATTACAGCTTGACGAAAGTCACAAATGGAGCCACTAACATCCCATATCTACAAATTGATTTCGCTTGAAAGTTTGTACAATCAGTAATGATGTAATTTGTGTAGTCATCCGAGGTACCATGTCATTTCCATCGTACATGGAATTTAAATGTTCTGTATTGTCATCTATCTCAGAATAAAGTACACGTGTGGTTAAGAAATGTGTCCCTGGATCTTCAATTAGATGAAGGTATTCGGAACTTGTTATATAATGTAAGGCCACACCAAGTAAATTTTATGGATGACGTCCGCGCGCGCATTGATTTCGGCCTGTTCCTAGAAAAAAAAACAAGAAATTCCGCTTCCTGTAACTATGACCAAAGAGTCACAACAGTGCCGCAAATCGTCAGATTGACGTGGAACCTGTAACGTGAAAACAGGACAGGACGACAACTGCTGTTCCACCTGATTTATTGCTGTTTTGATGATGAATAAAAGACTTCTTGCTTGTTACACTGTGTCACCTCATTCAATTTGTGTCCTAACATTTGTCGTCTCTTAGTATATTTCTAATCTAGGCATCTTGTTTTTTAGGGCCCTTCTTGTTTTTTTTTTCGCCCTCTCGCATTAGATTTAGGGTCTCCAAAGGACGCCATCCATAAAATTTACTTGGTGTGGCCTAATGATATTTTTTCGGCTCCATCTCTAATCATACCTTGCATCATTGTTGCATGACACATAGATTTATACGAAATGTAGAATGACTACCATATTAGCAATATGCCAAAGACATGAACGGTCACGAACAGAAGACTTATCTACCATATGAGGAGAGACTTAAGGTGCTTAGGCTCCCGACACTGGTATATAGAAGAATACGTGGGGACATGATCATGACCTACAAATACATTCATGGGAAGCTGGACACAGAGGGTTGCCTACCAAAAATGCAAGAAAAAACAAGAACAAGAGGGAACAGCTTACGACTAAACAAAAGATCAGTGAACAACAACAAAAGACTGTTTTTCTACAGCAACAGGGTAGTAACATGGTGGAACAGTCTACCGGAAGAGGTGGTGTCAGCCCCAAGTGTGAACAGTTTTAGACTGGACAAACACATGAGAAGTCATCCAGTGGTGTACAACCCCCGGGCATTGAACAACCCCCACAAGATGACCATGTCTACCGAGTAAACTACAAGGAGCTGCTCAAAGTGGAAGAGAACTTCCTACCGAGACGAAAGATCTACTCTACTCTACTCTACTCTACTTATGATAATACCAACCCATTGATAGATCATAAGGCCTTAACCTAAAGAGTCGGTATGGCATTGTGGGTTTGCCCATGTAAAACTTGAATACATATGCATCCTTGGTAAATGATAATGTTCTGCAAAAAGTTTAGGAAGTTCACGTCAAGCAATCATCTATCAACGACATGTTGATGGAAAACATTATCACATACTGATCCCATCACGTACATCGCACATGACAGATAAGATAAATCATGCTCTACATGATGATGGCAACAAAAATATTCTAGGAATGACATGAAACGAAATCGGACTAAAAAGTATGACAGATGAGTTTCTAATGGCCAGCCAGAGGAGTACAGTTTGGAACCTACTACTTACTATGCAGAGCTTACAGTACTGCCTTACATTCGCCGATGCTACATGTATAAGCAGGCAGGAGATAGCATCAAAATGAAACCAAAAATAGGTAGTAGAAAACTACAATCAGTGAAGTGATGTATTCACTGAAAATAAATTATCATGTATCATTTAAAACTTTATCAAGTACCTTTTGTGCACACATAACGTTTAATGGCTCGCTTTTTGTGTATTTCTGTAACTTTTACAGTTTTATGTTGTGCTGTGTTCAGTGTTGTCCTAATGGAGGTTAAAGGTCACAGCAAGTCTGAAAGAGCACTGAGCATTTGAAAGGAAAGAAACTTGGAGTTAGCAACAATCAAAGTTTGGCAACTTTTTAAGAGGTATACATCATGGCACTTATGGGGAAGGTGGCGCTAATAACCGGGGCAGCTCAGGGCCTCGGGAAGGCGTTCTCCGAAGCTCTACTGAAACGAGGAGCGAGGGTGAGTAACAAAAAGTTGTAACGTAAATTTATTATGCAGAATCCATCGGCCAAGTCTAATGATTATACAAATGTATTACCGTTACTAGGGCTATCCTTGGACTAGGTGTCCTTGTTAATTTCATACAATATATTAACCAAATTTAAAAAAAATCTTCATCTTACCTGCACCTGTCCGTGTACTACAGTAACTGCGTCTATCATGTAACGTTAGTTGTAATGACTGTCGATTTTTATTTGCTGCAATTTGACTGTTACCACCTATGATGTATAATTATAATGGCAATGGTTTCCAAACAGTTTTTAGTCTGAGTGGTGCAGGTAAATGTCACTGTTTCCGGCAGGTGTGTAGAAAAAAAAGTTTTAAGCCCTGAGGCCAGTGCTAGATGACTTACACTATTACTAGTAGTAATTTTGTAGAAGGCATAAACTAGGTGCCAGACCCCAGCACTTTAATATACAATAGAGAAAGAAAATTCAATGATCCTGTCGACTGGCTCTCTCCCAAGACACCTGGCTCCTGGTTACCCTCTCCGTATTGTCTATCCCATTGCGAGAAATAAATTATCCCCTGGGTGCCTTGACTCTGTTATTGGGGCTTGTATCTTGCCCTAGCCAAAGGGGGTCTGGCTCCTAGGCTATAGAAGGCTTGAACAACTATCATACTGGTACGATTTCCGTGTACATACAGGTGGCGATGTTAGATATGAAGCCAGAGGAAGGAGAGCGGACAGGACAGGAGATGGCAGAAAAGTTTGGACCCGAGAACTCCAGATTCATCCAGTGTGACGTGACGGCTAGTGAACAACTGGATGGTAATAATCATGTTTCTCGTGCTTATCTCTACATTAATACCGACTGGCTTCTAAAGGAGTTTTACCATCTCCAGGCCTATAGCATTTCTTTCTGAAAGCCTATCTTTCCAGTCTGATTGTTTGTAACATAGAGGTAGAATTACAACCTCCTTGTTTGTAATTAAAACCAAGTAAAAAAAAAATGGTTTGCAGGGAACACTCCCAGTACGATACTACATGTAGTAAAGACACCAGAGAACTCATAAGGGGAAGCGCACGTAAAGTTTCATGGTCACTTCTCACTTATTATTACCATTAACAAATAATTCACCAACTTTCTTTTTTCTGCACCTGCTGCCACAGTGAACAATAGTGAACACCTCCATTTTTCTCAGACCGTGAACTTTTGCTATCATGAATGTAAAGTGAATTACTGAGTAATACACAATGTATCTTATACAATGTACTAGTATTTGTACTGTGTCACTGCCAGGTGCCTTCGACAAGGCCAGCTCCCATTTCGGAGGTCTGGACCTGGTGGTTAACAATGCTGGCATCCTGAATGAGGTACAGTGGGAGAGGTGCCTGGCTATAAACTTGGTGAGCCAGTTCATTATTGAATAAAGTTAAGATTTTTTTGTTTATTTTTTTACCCTCATGCAGGTTTAGATCTTGGCCTTGCATTGTATTTATGGACTTACTATGAAATATGGCAGATGTGCTTTCAGAGTGCTACTCAGTTTTATGGTCTAAGGATGAACTTAAAGTGCACCTCATTCCCTGTGTCTGACAATTTGACCTGCGGTTACATTCTGCCTGTCAATCTTCCCCCACTCGTGTGCTGTCATCCTACTCCGTCTGGACAAGCATACACACAAACCCACAAACAGCCTACCCAGAACAATACTTCCATACCAAGAGGAAATAACTGTCTTTTTTAACTCCACTTCACAGGAAGCTGTCATCAGAGGGACCTTTACTGGACTGAACCACATGAGCACCCAAAACGGGGGAAGAGGGGGTCACATCATTAATGTTGCCTCTATAGCAGGTGATACAAATTGCACATATTACTGGTAGAGTGTACAATTGTGTTTTGTACTGTAATATTACCACACGTTACATGCTCAGTAAGTTAAATGAAACAAAATTTTTAAATTCAAACTTCATTTGAACATTGAAGTCCTTCTTTAAAATGCAATAAATATTCCCTCACATCTTTCAATTTGAATTCTACCCCTGACCATGGCAGCTCTGTTACAGTTCTGGAAGTTCCACAGTATGAACTTGGGCAGACCCCCGTACAGTAGTCTCACAGTTGTCAGGGCTCAAAATCTTTTTTTTTCTGCACTGGTGCAGGTAACATTGAATCCTCATGCACCTCTCAGAATGTAGGAATCATTAGTATGGATTACACTAAAACCTAAGGCTCCATTTAGAAATCACTGCATTGTTGAACTAGAATTTTTATTTCAAATTGTCTCCACTTTATATAGGGTTGCTGAGTTCCATCCCAGCTGCTCCCGTGTACACAGCATCCAAACATGGTGTGGTTGCAGCATCCAGGTGCATGGGGGTAAGTTTTCATGTGGAATATGGACTGTCACATGGGCTTGAAATACTATTTTTTCTGCATACAATGTTAACCTGCACTGTTGTTGCCAGGCTAATTCAAATCCACATACACCTTTATGTGCATGTAATTATAAGCCCAGTAACATTACATGAACCAGTGCAGGTTAGGTGCAGGTAGACATCAGAAATACCTGCACAGCTCCAATTTTACCTGCACTAACAGATGATATTTCAAGCCCTGTATCCCCTTCAACAGTTGTAGATACATGTATTAGGAACTGTAATTCAAGAACCATCATTTTAATTTCCTAACCCACTTGAGGATGGTAACAAAATGTTGATGCCTGTGTTCCCAGCATGCGATGCACTACAAACGGCACGGTGTGAGGGTGAACGTCATCTGTCCATCCTTCACAGACACCGACATCGTCAAGGTGACAGAAGACTCCATGGGCAAGGATTTTTGGATGGTACCAAAAACTTATGAGAAGCTCGGAGGTCTGCTTCCGTAAGTTGAATGTCAATGTTATTAGCACTACTCAACTTCTTTGACATTCTGCGCAAATCAGACTTGAAAGTTTTTTTCTAATTCCACTGTCAGATTTTCTGAGTTTTCCATACATAATTCTCTACTAAGAACTTCCCCTAGCATATCATTTAGGGTGTACTTTGGAAAGGAAAGTGATCTCGATACAGTTTAACTCACTGATCAGCTACATGTAATCTCCCACTGGTCGCAACAGAGAAGACAGGGCTATGTACAGTATTTACAGGTTTATTGTACCAGGAAATTTCCCCTATCTTTTTTCATCAAGCGCAATTAACAACAGAACACAGCTTAACATCCTAAGGACTGTGAACCTTTACAGTAGCGTGCATGTTGGGTGAGCGACAATGGCTCGGATTCGAACTCCCAACCTCTTGGTCCACAGGCAGGGTTGCTAAACCACTAGTACTGTAAAAGTATGCTACTTGAAATGTCTGACCATTTTTAAAATGTATCCAGTTACTCAAGTAACAATTTTCTAGTGCATTCAATCAATACTTAACAATATGAAGTTCCAGTTTTTAATTTTATGATTTTTCTCTTTCCTAGGGTCTCTACAGTTGTGGAGGGATTTCTCCAACTTGTAGAAGATGAGACACGGAATGGAGCAGTCATGAGGGTGACTCTGGCTAAAGGCATTGACTTTAAAAAGTACAGAGAAGACATGTTTTAAACACAGTGCCCCAGGGTCTTTGTTGCACAGATGAATTATTGTGAAATATACTTGCCTGATTCCTAAAAACCCATTTTAGCTACTATAGCTATTTGCAGAGAGAATCTAAGACTCAATGATTTATTTAATTATAATAATGTTACAGATTGCTAAGCTGCTCATATTATGTTATTGTAATACCTCGTCTTGTTAGCAGGATAAGTACTTTGTAATAGCCACAGGGTAGTTGAGCTGCCCTGTCTGTGTACAACTTAAAACAATGAATAGGTTTGTAAGATTTGACTTGAAAGCTAAAATAGGTTTGGTAACCAGCCTGATTTTTTCCCATTCATCCAATGTTTGTTTGTTGTAACATCATGATGGGCCATTGTGTCAGAGATGCGACAATCTGAAGGTTGGGGTGTGTGGCATGCAGCCGCATGCTCCCCCAAGAAAATTTTGATCCTTTGATTGCTATTTCCTGCATTTCTGTATAAATAAAAGTACTAGTAGTAGTACTTGTAACATTATAGTAATAGTATTGTAATGCTACATTAATTATTATAATCAAAAGGAAGCAGAGGAAACAGCGAGATTAAAAATCATGTTTTCACTTTTTTTATTTCGTTTTCCTGAAAATGATTTCTAATACTGGTCATGGAATTGTTGGAAGTGTGAAAGAGTTTGTAAATAATATTTGGTATCATCACAACAGGTGATCACAAGATAACATGAACATTATTTAACCATGCGAATAATGTCTATGGCACAATTGAGAACTTTTAATGCATGTAATTATTTTAAAGACTGGCTTGGGTTTCATAAACAAAACAAAATACTGCTTTATAAAGCATGAATAAAGTTCTCTTTTTGGCTTTTTTTATAAATATGGTACCACGTTCTTGTTCATGGAAAGAAAACCATACACGGAAACAAACATTTTAGCAAATAGGTTTGCAACTAAATACACTAGTGCAGTTGTGGGCGTTGGCATCGACATACTTTGTTTTTGTGTGCATAGTTCTTCTACTAGCTAAGTTCTAGTACTAAGATTACTGGGAATTTACAAAATGTGGCAGTACATTCAGTACAGGAAATGTCCTTCTCTTCCAAAGTCTTGAAAATATGAAGTTTCAAAAACATATTTATTCTTACTAATCTTAGGCCTACTGTACAGAAGTCGCGACGCGACATTTCGCTAAGTAATCTAATGCAACAGATGAAAGGGCCTGTAACAAAAGCATAGAAAATCCTCCAAAATTATTTTTCCAGTGAGTTGTGGAAAATTACAAAGCTAAAAAAGTACAAAGGGTTGAGTTGAGACAAAAGGAGTACAATTTGAAGTAACTACTCAACGGGAATTCCTTTGTTGTTGCAATCTACCCCCCTTGCCAATTGATATGCAAATATGTCCCTGAACCCAGGCCGTCACAACAGACGAGAAGGTAAACATGTTTTCGTCTGGAGCACAAGGATGTTTTTGGAAGACATCCAAGAAAAAAGTCCTGAGATTGTACACAGATGTCCAGACATTGATCAAACAATCTGTTCAACATATAGATATTTTTTTACACAAGGTCCTGGTGAAGTCTTGTTCTCTGTGACGAATTGATGGGGCCTTGGACGAACAAAGAGCGTCGCGCGTCAGATGTTGCGATCCACACACACAAAGCCACAAGTTGTTTTTCACATCCGTCCGTTGGAATGTTGGCCACTGTGTATTGTCCAGTCCCCTGATTTTGGCTTGATCTTGTGCGTTTTTTTTGGAATCCGAGTCATCTCTGATCCAGATCCTTGTTTTTTTCAAGAGCCGCGTCGTAATTTTTGATCCAGCATCTCAGAAGAATTATGAAGTCTTTAGACCGCATGCATGCAGAAATTATGTATGTAAATGTTTTCGCCCCAACTCACGAGCAGCTGCATGGCTTGTTTACCAGTTGGCGATGATCAGGACAATTTTTCTCACAAAGCCCTTCACATGGTGCCTTTACTGAAACAGCGTGGTCGTCAGAAAATTATAGTTCGATACGTTCTGGGCAGTCCGGAAACTGGTAACCGCTTCTTGGTAATGTTTGTTTACAGGTCACATGTCGATGTAGCGTTAGAGAACTATACAAAGTACAACAGCACAAATGTACGTGAGAAGGCAACAAAATATGAGACGATGGCTTGGCAGTGTTTTGTCCGTGGCTTGCTATCTGCTGTCGGATCTGTCCGAGGAATCTGACGACATTTCTGAAAGCTCGGAGACTGGCGAGTCACAGTTGGAGTCGTGGTGGTATCTCGCCTCGCGAGCACGCTCTTTCTCTCCCCTATTTCCGAGTCTTTTGACGGCTTCTTTGATCAAATTTCCGCTTCGCAACAGCTCCTGAAGCATCGCGTAGGGGTCGTCAGCGTCACATCTTCTGTGAAGAAGCCTTCTGGCGTTCCTAGGCGGTGATTTTTTGCACACAGTCCCCGACTTGGCGACGGGTAGCCCGTAGGGCGAGGCTCGCTGGGTGGCCGCCATGCGCTCCCGTCCAACTCGCTGCTTGTGCGCCGCCTTCAGCCGCAGACTGTCCCCGATTCGCCGCACCAAATCGTCCAGCTCTCCAGAAGTAGGCTCCATAGCCAACAGGTCTTCTTTTGACGGCATACTTTACTGGGACGAGGAAAAATAACGGAGATATTGCACTGAAAGTTGGCTGGTTCTGAGGTAAACACACCCAAACACAACGGCTTGTGTTTGAATGGGCGAAGGTAAACAACGGTAGGCGGCGGGAAGAATCTCCCCCTCATTACGTATTCAAAATCACTCCGCCTGACCAAATCTCGAACAATCCTCGCACATCAAAGTACACATTCTTTTAATAACAAGATAACTTCATATAAACCAAATCATAATTTGTCACAACTCGTGGTAAAAAAACAACGAAAATTTGTTGATTTAACCGGAATGTAGTACTATTTTAGTTCCTTATGAATACTGTTTCCGGCAGATTACCGTTTCCCCCAGGATCCGTTGTTGTTGCCCGTGTGCAGACACGTGGCCTCTGAATGACCTCCGCATAACACAGGATGAAGTCATCTGTTTTGTGCAGACTTAGTCTCGTTACCAGACTGTTTTCAGGGTAAATACAGATCACCTCCTCGGCTTTAGAGCCGATATATCACCAAGAACTTTGACCGCAGCAATGTTTAAAAGGACTTTGAGAATTGTGGCTGTGGTAGTAGAGTTGGGAGAATCTTGGGAGTATGTTGACCGTTAGGAGCCGGCCTGTTATGTCCCTTGAAACAGTCTGGTATCTAGGCTAACACCAACCGGGACGAACTAGTTGCTCCACGCAACCGAAACGTTCCCAATATCGACCAACGATTACATCAGATGCTTTAAAAACGCACATTATTCAGTTGTATAAAATGACTGTTACTGTACTGTTAACGTTATCTTTTGTACGTGGCTTTATATACACCTTATCTTTTTTACTTCTTTTGGCAATGTTTGATCTTTGATTTAATTTCTTGATGGCCAATAGTCCGCTAAAGTACAGTTTGCCTTTACACTGTACTGGTATGTTTAAGGTACATTCTATTGGCCAATTTTTTAACGCTTTCCAGCCAGAAGCCTGGTAGATGCTAAGATCTGCCTGGGTTAGCTTGAGCTGGAAAGCTGTATAGGACTGACAACCCGGATTTACTTTGTTCCGTCTGTTGTACTTATTTGATGGGGCAATGCACTACTTACATAAAGTTAGTTATGTAAATTTTGACGTGGTGGGGCAACGACTGACAGGTCAATGACATTGGAGCAAAGAGGCCTTCTTGGTCCGATAAAGGAGGTTGGAGAAAGTTAACTTAGCACAAAAGTGAAACAATGAAATCAATATTTGATAACTCTTCTAAATAAATAAAGTCTTTGAATTAAAAAAATCATTTTTAATAATTTTCAAACATTTAGAATCACTCAGTCCCATAGCCACAGGCCGTAGGGTCAGACTGTCCAGAAATATACTATTCATATCATTGCCAATAAATACAAATGCGCACTTGTGGACTGACTTGGAATTAGCCCTTTTCCAGACAGTGATATTTCTCCTCTTTAGCTTTTAATCTATGAAGCTCGTTTAATTATGGGTTCACCACACCACGAAGTGGTGGTGAACCCATATTGCTTTTTCTGATGTTTCTTCTTCTTCTCCTTCTCCTCCTGCCATTTTTTAAATGGATTCAGCTTTTTCATTTTAGGGCCTAAGGTCCTGAAATTTGGTATGGAGGTACAGTGGGCAAATACCCCTAGGCGTTTTTTAAATTTTTGTGATACAGGCTTTTAGAATGGTTTTATTTGAGTTTTTTGGCTGTGTTATAGCAAATGTATTACTGTGTTAGTGTGCCGTGTTTACCACGTCTGGGCATGAGTCATCACAATGGAATGCAGGGCATCAACCAATAGGCATGCAGCTTTCCTCTATACTTCTTGCTGATTGGCTGTTGGGATTTAACTTGATTAACACCCGCACAGAGCATTTCCACCTGCACAGAGCATTTCTTGCTGATTGGCTGTTGGGATTTAACTTGATTAACACCTGCACAGAGCATTTCCATACTGACAGTATGTCTTTATTCAAGTGTTTTGGTAGGTATTTCAAGCTTTTCTGCTCCAGCATTGGAATGCGGGGCATGAACGTTTTTTTTTTTATTTTGAAAATCAACAGTTTGCATTATGCAATTAAAAATCCTAACCAATAAAGTAGGGAATAGCTATCCAACTGTTGTTTTAGTTGTATGTTACTTCATATTATAGTTATATCAATGTAAATCATTGTTTTCCCTTGTGTTTCTCATTCTTTCCCTGCCATGTCGTAAAATGTGGTGAACCCATCGCTGTATTTGCTCCAAAGCAAATATTGGCCTTTCTAGTTTAACGTCATTTTTCCCCAGCCGGGGGTTAGACATGCTTGCACCAGGTACAAGTCTTTTTTTGAAGCAAGAGTTTTACGGCTGGATGCTCTTCCTAACGCCAACCCAAACCCTAGTAGGGCCCAGGAACCCTCTAACTGAGGGGGGAAATGCATGTTAAGTGCCTTTCCCAAGGGCACAACGTCTGGGTGCATGTCCGGACATGTCTGGGTCCAACCCTGGGGATTGAACCTGGGTCTTGTGGTTGACAGTCGGATGCTCTATCCACTACACCACACAGTTATAATAATGGTTATAATAATTTCCACTCTGTAGAACAGGGCACAGAATATAACACGAAGTGTATGATCCAAAACATGGGTCAGAAATCAGAATGTAAGTTCTAGTAATACAGATATAGAGAGAACAAACAGTTCTATTGCACATTTTAAAAATTTAATTCATCATTTACATGTTCATTGTGACAACATTCATTAATCTGGCATGTTTGATAAATGTTATATAATAAATAAATTACAGGAATTTTTTGGCAAAACTATTTCTCCTCAAACATTTCTCCCAAGATGGAAAATCTAGAGTAGAATGGTTGAGCTGGACAAGTAAAAATGGCAGGGTGTTTTGTATCCTCTTCATTCCAGCTTCTTGTGACTTTGCTCTTTTTCCACTTGTCAAAATGCAGTCTTTGTCTTGTGTCAGATGCTAAAGTTTCATCTATTGTTGGATCCATAAAACTGTCAAGTCTTTTTTCAGGGAACGAAGGAACGCTTTCCTTCTTGTCCTTTTCTTTTATATCCTCTTCAAAGTCTTCCAGGAGAGACGCAAAGTCAAGTGTGGTGTGAAGTTTCTGCAGCTCCTCCTGGTCCTGCTTGAAGGTACTGCAGCAGTACAGGGCTGCTGGGTCAATGGGGTGAGCCTCTGTGTTGAACACATAACTGCAAGACAGAAATAGAGCATTAGAAGCAAACAGATATTACATGCTGCTTACAATGTACATGACAAATCAGGTCTCTTACAATTGTGCATATTTAATCAGTAAATTTTTCCCTCAATTAAAACATTCTTACTGTTGATTCATATCATACATCATATCATACAAATAAAACCTTAGCTTAAGTTTTACTTTGTAATTTTTAATCATTTTCAATAAACCTGAGTGCATCTACTGTACTATAATCATCAGGGTAGTACTAGGATCAGGTTGGTTGTCTGCCATAGAATTTTTTTCACCATGTTGGTTAAAATTTTTTGGAGCAAATCTGAGAACCAATAGTGCAGCCTTGAAAATGGACAAAGAACGTGTAGCACAACAGTATGCCAAATTTTGATTTTGCATAGATGGCAAGGTGGTTTTGTGGTTAGGTTATAATCTCCTTGGGTTAATTATGTTGACTCAAGAACTGAAGGTTCTGGGTTCAAATCCATTTACTTACACGGTCTAAGAAAAATGAAATGATTGTAGAACTATATATTTGTGGTGGTGGCAGGTGCAGAAAAAAGAAAGTCAGCAAATTATTTGTTCACGTACAGAAGTGACTGCAAAAACTGTGAACATAAAAGTACCACAAAATCGAGATTTACAGTTAATAAATGAATAACAATGTACCCTCCGGCGTCCAGTACACATCTCCCGTTGACGGTGTGAACAAACTCGCCGTGCCCCCCGTCATTGTGGATGAAGTTGTCCGGATCAAACAGCAGGTACAGGTACTTGGTTGTCTCTGCCAGGAAAAAGGACTCCATCCTGTTGCCTAACTGGTGTGTGCGCACATCTTTAATCTGTGAAGAAAGCAAAAGAAAAAAATCTTTGAATTTGATAAAGTTAATGTTTGTAACCAACTTCACAAATTTTGCTTGCTATGTCAGATGCTTGAGAAGGGACTACAGTCAAGAGCTCTCCCCAAGCAATGAACCAAGGGTGCTTCCCTCTCCCCAAAGTCCTAGCACCCATCCCAAAATGTTCAAATTCGGGGTTTTCTCTTAGTATTTTCATGAAAGTTGACGTACAGAAGCGTAGCCACAGTCTGTGCGAGTGATCTGGTTGATGGCCTCCACCACGTCCCTGCCCAGCTGCAGGAGGAACGGATCCCCCGTGGCCCGGTACAGGTACATGGCGCTCTCTACCAGTTCTGTAGGGCAGGGGAAACAAGACATAACTACAAAGGAAAAAAATCAAAACAAAAAAAAAAAACAAAGGCACAATGGTGTAGCCTAACAAACTACTGCTCTGTTTCTCCTGCTACAGTTACCATGGTGACAGACATCTGGACCAGGTCATTCACCTTGTGTGTTTGGAAGAGAAGAAGAAACAGAGCAAAAACAATAAAAAAACAGTTCTTCAACTAAAAAAGATATTTTCTGCATTATGAGGGGCCAATTTTCTAGTGGACTAACTTACGTAAAATGACATCTCTATCCATAACCTTAACACACTGCTTTTTTGTATGTCAAACATGATGGCTTGGAGAAACTTTTTGTATGCCATGAGTGGTAACATTCAGGAAAGACAGACGCTGGCTAGAACACTATAGCTAGTAGATGTGCTGTTACCAGGTCGGAGAGGATATCCCTCCCTTTTCTCCTGTGCCTTGTTGCCGGGGATGTTGTAGAACTCGGGCGTGGCTCCGTACTGTCTCCACACCTGGTGGTAGTTGTGTAGGGACTTCATGGCAGAGTCAACATCACCGACCAAACTCTGATGGGATACAAATGATTTTTAGATGTCATGTGACTAAAATGTTGTGTTTCCTGTTCCAGTCATGAAAGTAATTAGGGTCGGTATCTAGGGATTGTCTTTTTTCTTTCCATTTTTTCTGAAATTTGGCGATCTGTAGTGATCCAACTTATATAATACAGTTAAGCAAAAGTAAAACTTGTATGAGGGCAATTTCATTTTCAATGTCGATGTTGGAAAACCAATTGTATAGTATTAAAAATTTCATCACTCAGGTGTCACCTACAAACAGATTTCATGATTGTAAAACATAGTACATGTATCTTCATGTTAGTATGGAAGAGGATAATTGACACTGGTCACTCACTTGTAAGCCTGGCCAATAGGCTTCCAGGGACTGGAAGACAGGCATGGTGACCTGTCCTTTCTTCATGTTGGCCCACATGTACCAGTCATCGTACTTCAAGTACGTGTTGATAGTTTTGTTGTACTCTGAGAACAGAACAATTTACATCCGGTATTATAAGTGAATTGTTCTGAGTCAATACTTACACTTACTATCCGGTTTACATACATTATCCTTCTAGCTACAGGTATGATTCTCCATGTGTATGTTCTTGAATAGTAGGGAAAAATAACAGTACCACAAATGTATGTTGAAACATTGTACAATAATTTTTCCACATACTGTATGTACAATGAATAAGTATTAATACTGTAAGTTTTTCAACGAGATATAAGTTATAATAATAGTTTCAGGGCTAAGTATCATGCAGAAACAACAAAACATCATACGGTTTTTGTACAATTTGGATGTCCAGACTTACCTTTAAACATGTCCATGAGTTCAGGTCTACCCAACAGTATATAACCTTTTACAAGGTACTCAAAGTAGGAGTCCACTCCTGCACCTATTCCTGAGTCTACAGCTGTCCAGCGGCCTGTGGTCACATCTATGTGGTTACCTACCTGAAAACAGTTTACAACAAGAAATCAGAGATTTTAGAAACCATGGATCAGATTTTAACTATATATATACATGACTACCACATGTACATATAGCTTGTAAAAGGTCTCCTGGAGTTCAGAAGAACATGTTAATGTGACGAATTGTTCAGGTACAGGTCAAAGGTTCAGACCTGCACCTAAACACAGGTAACTGTACCTGTACTTGTATCTTAGGTACACAGCTTTATACTAAACCTGTACCTTAGGTACCTTAGGGGTCAGCAGAACTGAATGGAGAGTGCTGGCAGAAAACAGAACATCCTGGAGGGACATGGCTACAGCCGGCAATGCCCGCCATGCATCTACCTTGATGCCTGCGGCTTGATTGATTGTACCTTAGGTATACAGCTTTTATACTTAATACTAGTACTAGTACATTAGTCAACATCTGATAGAAAGATTGTCAAATGTTCTTGTGACTACTGAGTGAATAATCGTGAGGTTATAAAACTGACCAATCCTATGTCCGATCTGACGTCCCACAGGGCCTTGAGAGCTCTGATGGCCGTGTTTTCGAACACAGGGTCACCAGTCAGCCTGCTGAGGGTCCCGAACTCCACCAGGAATGTCCCCACCCCGGCGGTGCAGGTCACCGGAGTCTCACCAGGGGGCACCCCGTACCGCAGGTTGACTGTTCCATACGGCATGCCAGTAGGGGTGTCAAAGGCTGTATCCAAACAAATCATGTCAATTTGTTAGCTTAGCCCTTTTGAGAGATTCATTGAGCTGATTCACACAACCAAAGTTACAGATGGTCTAATGTACAATTTATAATGGGGGCCTATTTGGGTGGACCTTCCTGTCAATCTATATGGCTAGAATTCTTTTTAGCGAGTTTGCTCAGTGTAAAGCCGCAAGGACCACTTCTAGGCACTGAACTAGTGCTCACTGTAGCAGCATCTCTTCTCCCTGAGTCAGAGACATCAACCTTAGGAAGTTTGACTAACTGACTCAAAAGGTAAAGCAGGGATTACAAACTCAAGGCTGCTTGGAAAAATCGCATCGAATCAGGGGTCCACTCTCTCAGGCAAATACATGTAGTTCCAGACCCACAAGTAAGCACACACAAACACAATGAGTACAATACATCCATACTGGATGATTCTAGAAGTCCTTACCAGGTAGGAGTCTCCTGGCGGCGTCCTGAGCCAGTCTGAGGAGGGGGCCGTCACACGGCCAGCCGGGCTCCAGGTCTACTCCTGCCTTCCTGGACAACAGGTGAGCTGACAACAGGCCTCCTACAACTGTGCACAGACAGACAAGCAGACATGATTGTACACATCAAAAATTAAAATTCATCTAACAAATAAATAAAGAATGTGCATGCAGGATTTTACAATGTGCATGGTGTGCCAGTATTCAAATTCATGTCATACCTGGGCTGTGATGATGTCAATACAGGTCTTCTGTACTTACCTCTGATGTTGGTTTCAAAAACGGAGGCATTCACGTCTGTGTCAAAGGTCATTGTGTCAGCCAGCAGCTGTGCCACACGGCGAAATTCACTGTGATTCCCCATCACCTACATGGAAACACAGAACATCAGAAACTACATCATAGTACATGTAGTAGTACACAGGTAACTAGATTACTTCCTGAGAGAGGTGGAAGAGGCTACGATAAGACAGCAGCCAACATGTTATACCAGGTTCCTTTGACCCAGTGTTGACATCACAGTCAGAAGCCACGTGAAGTCTCACTGGGTCAGTCTATTGAAGAAGACCAGAGTGACTGGTTGAAAGCTCTAAATGAGAACAACCCTAGCCTTTGTGTTGGAACAAAAGTTTCAACTCTATAGGACTGATTAGTTTTACTCTGATGAAAAATTTTCATGTTCTGTTTTTATTTTATTTCCTATTCTTCCCACTCTTCTTTCACTGGAGTTCAAATGAAGTCTTTAAAAGTTCATCACACATTATTTTTCAAGGCTTAATCATTTCAAAATGTTGATGATATACATGTCAGCTGCCGCCGCGCCGGATGCCTGCGAAGCTGGTGTGTTACGCCGAAAGGTGGTTATGCCGGCTATACAGATACAGATACATGTCATGTGAGCACAAACACCCTAGCCCTATAGTGTCAAATAAAAACTCACCAGCAATGTATCCAGTGCATCAATCAATGTAAGAGAATAGCTGGAAAACAAATATGTAGTTCAGTTCATCTTTCAGAATGAATTGAACAAAAATTCATACACAGTATTCTCTATAGAGTAATTTTAAAATGAATTCATAACAAAAGATTTGAGTATGAAAGTTTGCTAAAAACATTTAAGTCTACAGATTTGTGAGTATCATCATTTTGAATCGCTATTACTATTACCATACTGTATCGTTTATCATTGAGTGGTTTGCTCTCGGTTCTCTTTGTTTGTAAAATAAAAAAAAAGTGAGTTGAGATTTGTACCTGCCCCATGTGTCTGTGCCATCACATGTCAAGGGTTGGAGTTCATCATACGGGTAGGCATACTGCAGGTAACCGTTGTACGCATGCTGGAACATGGAACGCACCTGTTCTCTAGAGGAGATGATATACACAACACTGTAAGTCACAATTGAAGCTCATCAAGAACAGTCAACGAGCATAAGGGCTGCATACCTGTGCTGGGTATTGGTTAGAGTTCCCTTTTTACAGTATATAGAAGATGTCGCAATGACACGATCCAGCTCTCTATTATAAGCTGACTGGGGGCTCGAAAGAATCCCGCTGAAAACTTTCTTTGTGTCAGCCGAGAGCTCAACAAGAGGGCATAACTTCAAGTACCAGAGTTATCAACCAAGGATTGAGGTGTTCAAGAATTCATTCTTTCCTAGAACTATTGCAGAGTGGAACTCACTGTCACCAAGTACAGTAGGGGCATTGTCAATAGATAGCTTTAAACAAAGTCTAGAGCTAGAAGTTCAAGGGTTAGGTGTAACATTGTCGATCGGTGTAATATGCTGCCAGCTGCCGCCGCGCCGTGTGCCTGCGAAGCTGGTGTGTTACGCCGAAAGGCAGTTATACCGGCTATACAGATACAGATAACTACAACCTCAAAGTCCCATTTGCTAGAACAGGGCCGGGGCCAGTCTTTCAGTGTCAGAACAGTGTCAGAGGGGTTACAAACAGTGGAAGATGCCAAGACTGTGAATGAACAAGCTGGATAGGCAATAGGCAAGTATGATGTACGTGTTGGATGTTGGCTGAAGTAGAGACCTACACCACACAGGCTTAGTGCCTTCTTTCCCTAAGATGGTATACAGGTGCAGGGTCGGACCTGGTAACATCTGTGGCATATGTAACGCCTAACGCCGGTTATATCTGTACCCGATGTTACTTTATCATAAAGTTTACGATCAAAACTACTCCTGAGGATGTCTTTTCCGAACATTCAATACATTTCTACAAGTACCTGTATCCGTGTATTTCTTCCACCGTCATCACCTGCCCAGGAACTAATTTGAAAGTGTGTAAAACAAAGATTATGACCACGACAACACAAAACAGGCATCTGGTGGCAGCCATCTTTTACTCAATGACCTAAGGTAACCTCAACCTAAAACAGATAAAGAAAGGCCTTCTCTCATTGGCTAAGGTCAATACCAGCTGACACAAACTGAACCCGACAATTTAAAACTTGTTAGACGATTTCTTTACAATTTTCTACCCAAGTGATAAAAACATTTAAATCTATTTAGAAAAATTGATAAAATAAAATTACTGTTCGTTTCTGATGAAAATTTCTCCTCAGACACTCTACTGACCCCGCCCTCTCAATCAGCCAATGACGCAATCGGTTACAACGTTAGTGAATCGACTATTCGATTCGATAAAGCTACAACATTTTATTTTACGTATTTATTTTATAAATAGTATGAAGTAAATATTACATCTCTAGAGAGAAAAATATATCTATATAGAATTGTGATCATTTTAATTCCTTTTGTCTCATTTATCATAGCTTTTCATGTGACGCTAAATATGTTATCTTAAACGAACCCCCTTTTGTTCATGATAGTATCGTCCATTGGTTGACCTCCAGACGACAATCGAGGTCGCACGTTGGGGATTGTGAGGTAGTGGGCAGTTTACGTGCGGATTTTTCTTCATACAGAAACGGGCCAGGAGGTAAAAAAGGTGAGATAAAATTTACCTATGATTCCTCTTTTCTAGTTAATCCTTTTGAATTTTCCTCTACTTATTCAGGACGAATTTGGGCTGTCCTTTTATAGGTCTGTTCTTATGGGGAGGGGGGTGGTGAACAAAATTTTATGAGGGCTGATCATGACGCAGTAGGAAATTATACGAAGACTGAATAATGAAGGCTGATTGATTGCGAGTAAAATTTAAGCTCGAAAATGAAGGGGTAAAAATAGGTTATAGTTTGGAAAGGGTTCATCTTGGTGATAGAAATTTATGTACTCTAAAAAGTGATTTGAAAGGATGTCTATATACATGTATAAGACTAACAGCTAGCTAGCTAGTAGGCAGTTGGGGCTGTACTATGTCATTTTTATACAGTCTAATAAATCAAATCAAGAGCACCTTGTATAACCTCTATATTAGTACATGTAAGTGTGTACTTGCCCTGTCCTCTAGATTGTAGGTGGTTTGGCCTTGGACTTGGAACATTACTATTAATTAGAGGGGTGTCTACGTGCAAGTATATATCTTGTAAATAATCCTATGCCATGTTATTACACAGCAATACTTAAGTCTCCACTAGACTCCTTCACAGGCTGCATAAATACTAGTAGTAGAAATTGGCCTAAAAATCAATGCAGCTGGCTGCCAGCGAACTACTAACTTAACATCTGGAGGCATGGAGGAGACTAGCAATTATAGGGTTGGGGTTTTGTGCGCGTGAAAAATTTGCGCGCGCGTGAAAAATCTGCGCGTGAAAATATGCAAATTAGGCAATTCCCAGGGGGTCTTGGACATTTTTGGGAATCTTAATTTTATCTTTATCTTCCACGCGCAAATTTTAACCTTTTTTGCGCGTGAAAACTTCACATTTGAACAAGTCCCATGGGATTTGCACATCCATCCTTAATTTCATCTTTTCTCAAGCATATTCTTCCTACGCGCAATTTTAAACTTTTTTGCGCGTGAAAACTTCACGTTTTTTGAACAAGTTTCTCAAGCATATTCTTCCACGCGCAAATTTTAACCTTTTTTGCGCGTGAAAACTTTACATTTGATCAAGTCCCTTGGGATTTGCACTTCATCTTTTGTCAAGCATATTTGTCCATTCTATATGGAATGTCTGCATGTGAAGCATTCAATGCATGTGAAAAAATATATATAGCTTATTCTCACTCATTAAAAGTATGCAGAAAGTACAACACAATACACAAAGAACTCTTTTTGTGTAATTTATTGCCCTTTATTCATCTTAATGTGACATTTTGTCCTTTCCTTAGCTGATGAGGACAAATACAGTAAACAGAGAAGACATCCATGTCAACATGTTAACATCAATGTTACTTTGAAACACTTGAAGTGTAGTGAAGTCTTTAAGTCATTCTGTCAATGTACAAACCTCTTGTAGACTGACTACTTTCACCAATAACTCAAGCTCAGCTGAGCTTGTAATGTGAATGTCCTTCACTTAATCAAGTTATAGTCTTACATATAGTAAAAATATTGCTATTTCACATGATTCATCAAGTCATATCAAGTCATTTCTATTGTAATCAGCTATTGGATATACTCTATACTAAGTTGAAATCACTATAGTAACGGTCCGTAAGTTCAAATAATATGCATTTATTTACAGCCTGCAGAGTACACAAAAATATGTTCAGTTTTAATAGTGATAAAATAGCTTGCAAGACACAAGGTTGACATTATACTGTGGATACATTGTACAGATTGTGCATCACAAGCAAAAATAAAGATACTTATTTTGTTTGAAAGGTTAGATATAAATCACAATGATGAACAGGATGACAAAGTAATTTGTAAATCTGTCACCTAACTACCTACTTCACGTCAGCTAAATTATATATATTAATAATAATAATAATATACATATATGGCTACATAATATGTGACATGAAGTAATCCTAAAATCCCATCAACTTGCAATGATGATTGGAGGTGAAAAAAGATCTCGAATTTTGTTTAAGACTAAGAGGCCATGGGAATGCCCCTGTCCTTTAACTTCTCAACATCTCCAGGGTAAAGTTTACATGAGTCAGAAGCACAATACACTTCTTGTGGTGGACAAGTCAAATCACTCATCTGGGGCTTAACTGAAATACAATTGAATTTTGCACAAAAGAAAAATTTTCTTTGTACAACATTGTGTTGGGGAGTGATCCACAGTGCATTCACAGAAATATAAAGCATAGATTTAATCATTGATGATTTCCGACACCCTACACATGTAGCTTTACTGTCTTTTTCAAGCCTGCCAGCCGTCCACCTAACAGGAGTAAAAGGTCTGTTTTTCTTGTAAGCAACAAACAGAGCCTCCTGCTCAACAGGTTCCAGTTGGACTCTCTGATTCTGAGGTTTATTCTGTCCTTCCCCCTCCCCCCTACTTTCATTATCAGAATGTTGATCATTTGTTTTTGATTGTTTTTTAACATGACTCAACATCTTTTGAAGTTCACTTTTTGTTAGTCCTATCTGCCAGGTAATGAAATTATCTGCATTTAATTTGAAAACATACTCATACAACCATAGTATGTGCTTGCAAAGTTGCTTGCCATTGTATTTTTTAAAGAAGGGACAGGAACAGTTTGGGGTTCGGCTAATTACTGTGTCATATAGACCGTTCGTTACTTTATTGAAAATTTTGTACTTCAGTTCTGACACCTCAACAATAAGATTGCTAATAGATATGCTGTTAGCATTTTGTTTAACCCTCTGAACTGTCTCTTTGTGCAGTTTGCTAGGACATTTTCTATAGTTGTATGGGCGCTTTTCTTTTGCTTTTCCAGAATTAGTCTTGTCCAGATTGTCTGGAGATTTTTCATCTGAATCTGTGGAGTCAATAGTTCTTCTCTCATGGCATGTTTTCTTGGAATAGCTTGAGTTAGTAGCATCTCCATGCTTTCTTTTTCTTTGTTTATCTGGCCGATGTGAACTTCTTTCATCAGGGACAAAAGTGTCATCATATTCCCCTTCACATGCCTTACCAAACTCATCATCATCATAAATATTAAATAATGTTTCGCCATATGCTCTGGCTCTGTTCTGTTGATCTGCATGTTCCCTGGCCTGTCTTGTTTTGCTGTCTGGACCGGTACCTCCACTGAAACTACCTCCTTCCAACTGTTTTAGTTCCCGGTCTGTTATTATCATCTCTGCCACATCGTCATAAGCAGCATCAACCAGGGACAGATTATTAGAGCCAGATCTTGTGTATCGAGAGTTATAAGATTCAGAAAGGTTCATATTTGGAACATTTATTTTTGGCCGAAAAGCATTAAATACATGAAACCGACGTTCGTGCCACCACTGCAGCCATTTTTTTAAAACCTCTTCTCGTCTTGGTCTTCTGTTAATGAAGTTCTGTAACCTACGATAAAGTTCAAAATAGCCTTCAGGTGAAGGGGTTTTAAGTATTTCTTTTGCTCTGTTTGTAAATTTCTCTCCATCATCCTGGCCAAGCCTCCTAGCATGAAGATGCACAGACTGCATATAATGAAATTTGCAGGACACTCTGTTACCGGTATTTCTAAAGACTTTTTCAAGAGCAACCCAGTTCGCACCACCTTCATCACACATCCATCCTACAGGATTAAAAATATAGGTTTTGTTCTGAGAGAGGGTTTGCAGTGCCTCATTGAACAGTGTCCAGAGAAGGACGACAGCTTCTGTATCCTCCTCTCCTTCTATGTCTAACGTAGCTAATTTAACAATTTTCCGAAGCAATTCACTGTATATATGTATTCCAAGGCAAATATATCCTCTACACCGACCACGTTTTCCATCGAAGAAAACATACTCTTGTTGCAAAGGAGAATATGGACCTTTTTGATCCATACTGATGGCCATTTTACATAAAACCCTGGATGTTTTAAAAACAAAACTTCTTGATTTATTCACTCGGCCATCGTTAGCTTTAAAAATATAAAATGAGTCAAGCTTATCAAGTTTAGCTTTTAGACTAGCCACTGCATCAAAGCTATGTCCAAGTGGGTGTGACTCACGAGAACATTTTTTCTTTTCTCGTTTCAACATTTCATAATCGAGTACATCATCAACTATGTCTTCAATTTTCTCCCAGGAGTCATTTCTGATTGCATCTACTACTGTTTGTCTTTGAGCTGCTCTTGGGCCACATTTGGGATTCTTCAAAAATTCTTTGGTTGTCTTTGGTAACTGCCTTCGCTTTGACACTGAAGGAACACATGTATGCATACCAGAATGCTTCACAATAATATAATTTTCTCCTGGGAAAAATTCAACAATTTTCTGTGCATTACAAACTATAAACAGTCCCTTTTCTCCACATATTTGACAAGCGGCAATACCATCACTCCATTCTTTGAAAAGTAGTCTGTTTTCCTTGCTGAATTGAATTTTGTAATGACACTTACTATTTTCACAGAAAAAAGAACCTTTGCATGACATAAGTCTTCTTATTTTACAGCGTTTGGTTGGCGCTGTTGACGATCTGCCCCAGTTTCTACCATCACTTGGCGTTTGATATTTCGTATTTCCTGGCTGTAATGGAAGTTTATAAATCTTTTTTCCATTGATATCATAAGGTAAATCATTAACATCTTGGATTTCAGTGTCTTGAGACATCTCACTACTAGAAGGATTGTACTTGTATGAACCACTATTACTTTTCTCCTTGTGCGACCCTTTTTTTGTATTCTCTGCATCCACTTCTAAATCCGAACTTGAAGAAATTACTACAGTGTCTGCTTCACCTTTGAAATGTGCATGACTACTGGAAGTGGTGCTGGGAAATTTTTTAGTTTTATGCTTCTTTCTTCTGTTTCTCTTGCGTTTGTCCCCTGTCGATGTACATGTAATACTGTTTGTATCTGTTTCTGGTTCCTTGGTTAGGTGGACTTGCTCTGTGCAGGAAACCGAGCTTGAGGAAAGATTATGACAATCATTATAGTTGTGTTTAAATTTTCCTTGATTATCTACTAATACTTCCAATACG